GATCAAATAGCATAGAAAAATAGAACATTCTTTTCTCTATCAGACTATATAAAAAGAAAGTTTCTTTAACCTTTCTATAAGGGATAAAAATACCACTGCCACTACTTTTGGTATGCCCTAAGTAGTTCTCAGTTTTGGCTGTTTTATACGACTATACGTCAAGTATACCAAATCTCAAATGATTAATATATCTATCGACTGCCGATGATCGTAGACGTACAAGACCCAGAATGAACAACTTAGTCCGCCTCTCTTACGCTTTCCTGTTCCTCAAAAGCATCAATACAGCCATTCAACTTCGGCTCTTGTCTGTTCTCTCACACTGTTGCCGACAAAAGCAAAAATCGAAGCGACTGTTATCCGAACATTTTAAAAAGCAGTTGATCGTGTAACTAACTGATGCGATTGCAATTTTATGTCTTTGAGTTCTGACAAGTATCATGGGACATATTTCTCTTTGTCTGCTAACCCTCCTACTTCTCTCAGTTTTAGCATCAATGGAGAATCTCTCAGATATAAAAATACACCCAACTTTTGGGTTTGTATTTTTCGCACGATGCTGGAAACCTCATTTTAAAATAACTGCTTTAGCTTGCCGTCGCATGTTAGGTGTCATAAATAGAATATTTGCTAAAGCTCCGGCTTTTCTTCGTCTTCACCTTTACAAAACTTGCGTCTTGGCCAAACTTGATTATGGCAGCGCAGTTTTTGATACTAAGTTTATCACGCACACTAAACCCTTTGAGTCTGTCCAAAAGCTTGCCGCACGAATGATAACTCGACAGTTCGATTATACTACAGATAGTGTTAACTCGCTAGTGATTTAGGCCTTTCTAATTTGACTAATCGCCGCCTCTATTTTCGTGTAGTCAACTATAATCGTATATTCCACGGATCGAAACTATGAATATATCCACAAACATTGGTGTTGGTATGTTTCTTGATTTGTTTATCGATCTTGTTCATGATCTCACTGTTTAGGAACATGACGTATGGCGGTGTTGATAAATATGGTGGCTATAGTGCCAGTTATTTAAAACCGTTTATTGATGAAAACTATCGAACATTATTATCAGCAAAACACACGGTTATTGTCGGTTAGTGTCCAAAGCAGAGATCTGCAAGGGCACGGGAATTCTAGTGGCCGCCGACATGCCTGTAGTGCCCACGGGATGGGCGGTCACGAGCAAGCTCGAAAAAGACACGGGCGGGCACGAACAGACTTGAAAGATACACGGACGGTCACGGGTGTTAGGTTCTCAGGTACACTAAGATCTTTCTCTCCTAACGTTTATTTACAAAAAAATCTCTCTCTTAACAATAAAATTGATCTATTTATATACGAAATGTTGCGCGATAACCTTGGCTAGGCTCTACGCAATAACCTTGAATATATTCTTGTACCATAGCATTGAATATTCTTGCGCAATAACCTTCACTATGATCATCTCCCTTATGGCACAACTGTAGTGCGTGGCATAACACCTCCCCCCGTGAAACAAGATAAACTTCCACGTTCATCGGAAACTGAATGCCTTTCGGAGGTCCTTTTGTTGTTCAATGTTCCAGTACTGCCACTACCATTATCATTGAATCTTTGGCGGCCGCGTTCTTTGTTGCTTGAGTCAAATGAGCCGTTGTTTTCTTCACCATTCGTTTTGTTTTTGTTGATTGAGAAACTGTCACTGTTGTTCGATATGTGGATAATCAATCACCAACGTGTTAGATACACCTTTCGAACACAGGTTGTAAATCAGCTATATGAACCCTCCGTTGAATAGCTGTTTCTCGATCTTGTATGATGTAGCTCGGGTGGTGTTCTTGAATGATAATATGCGGACCCGAGTAATGTTCTTCGAATTTTGAAATATGACTAGGTTTTCGCCATAACACTAAGTCATTTGCTTTATAGATTGAATCGGAACGCTTCAAGTCGAATCGTGCTTTTATTACTTTTTGCTGAATTTGAATGTTTTGTCGTGCCGCTTGATGATACATTTTTAATCACCGCATTATGCTGGGCCAGTAGTCATTTGGTTTTGTCAATGTGAACGTTGGCTGTTTTTGGGCTAGTGGCAATGTTGGTTCTCGGCCAAACATCAATTGAAATGGTGAATACCCGGTTGTAGCATGTTGTCCAGTATTGTATGCGTAAACAACAGCTGGTAAATATTCATCCCAACTGTTCAAATTCTCGTCTTGTAGCTTTGCTAGTTGCGGGCGAAATGTCGCATTGAACCGTTCGACTTGACCATTCGTCTGTGGATGGTACGGTGTTGATTTAATGTGGTCGAAACCTATCAATTCTGCCAGATTTTTCATTAATTCGTTATTAAAGTGGACCTCTTGATCGGTAATGAGCCGATTTGGTACACCAAAGTTAAAAATGAATTCTTCGAGAAATGTTTGGGCAGTTGTTTGTGCTGCATTGTTAGGTAACGCCTTCGCTACGGCAAATTTTGTCAAGTGATCGGTTATGACCAATACATATTTATTTCCATTGACGGATTCTCGACTGTACACCTTATTAATATCGGTCCTAATTCTGGTATTGCTGTATCACAAACACTATCGAACGAACAAACCTTTCTGTGTGCCTTTTGATGTCCATCCGTAAGGAAAACACGTGAACATTGTATTGATCACAATTTTTCGACACGGATTTATGCCGTGTCCAAAACATGAAAAAATTCATTATTTCTGGTCAAATATTGTTCACGTTCGTCGCCTTCGTACGCTGATGATATCTCAAATATTTCTTTGTCTGTTAGCATAAAAAAGAAACGGGCCAGTTCATATGCGAACCAACTGTTTTGGAACAATTTCTGATGCATTTTCCGTTGTTGAACTTGTTGTGGCAATTTTGTCATAGCAATTGTACGATTATGGGCAGCACAAAAATCTTCAAACGATAAGTGAGCATGTATCAGTTGAGACGTAAAAGTTTCAAACAGTATTTGATGAAAAACGGTCTTTCCACCAAGATATATATTTCAATTTCTTAATTGATGTTGCTGTTACGTATTTTAATTTTACGGCTTCTTTTTCATAATGACATGGATAACATGATATTTTACACGTTTTACAGTAACTCATGTACACGCTACAAGTTGTACATGAATTAATATTCATCAATGTCATTTCGTTGTAAAAACGTGGGACACCGGGCTTATTTTTACATTCAACACAAATCGTTGTAAATGGCAATAGATTAATAATATTTAGTTGACTAACATTATCAATATAAACTGATCGTCTATATTGCGCAATTATTTGATTAACATCGTTGTTAGAATTTGGGGTCAGTTGAACATCAAATACACCTTGAAGTGTACCAATATCGATGACAAAGCCGATATTCGATTCTTTATATTGCATATTGTAATTTAAGTTGATCATATTGGTGATATGTCGTTTTTTATCCTTTAGTTCTTCCGGTAAAACATGGTTTAATGTTAAAGTTGTTATAACATGATGAATAGGCATTGTATGTATTAACTTCAAAAAGGCTCATTCATAATCTGTTATTTTAGTACAATACGTATTTGTTTCCGTTGTTGAAAAGTAGAATTGACACTAAATCAGTGACGCAGTGTATATTTTAGACATATACCCGTATTGGAATGATCGAGAAAGGCTCCCATATAATTAAATCTCAGAAGACAAAAATGTTTCCTATATCCAAAAATTTTCCTATTCTTTATCAGAAAAATCATCAATACTTGCTTTAGCTTGTGTTAAGTGGTGCACTTTATTAAAATTGTCTAGCGTGATTGATAGTATTTTGTTTTTAAAACAACTAAAAAAAGCATACAAAAAGTACATATTTCTGGTAACCTCAACCTACTACGAGGATTATCGATTACGTACACAAAACAAAACGGTGAGTAAGTTAAAAAGAGAAAATCTTTGAGGATCATGTCCCTGCTCAAGCTTCCTGTAAATAAGGACTGAAGAAATAACTCAGAAAAAAAGCGCATGTTTTCCACACAATACCAATAACTTGAGCATTATCTGCAAATGAACGGCATTTTTTGTGTACTGCTATATTTTACATTTATCAGAATAAATTGTATTTTTTCTTTGTAACATAAATCTCAAAAAAAAAATTTCACGTTTGTGAAATTAAAACAAAACATGTTTTAAAAAACCTCGTCTATGTCTTGAATAAGAAAATATTATATAATAACATTATATATTAAAAGAACATATAAAAAACGACACCAACACACCATAAAACAAAAAATGTTAACGTTTTTTTTTTTTTTTTAACGTTAATTCTTTGGTTTCTTGTTCGATGATCGCGTACTGACTGGTGAAATCGACGCTATTTTTCTTCTTCTCGATACTGTTTTTTGATGATGAAATGTATCGACATCTAATAAGACAATAACACCAAGACCTGACTGCATCTTTTCATCATTGAAGTCATTTTGAATCTCTTTTTCCAAAGTAGGTTTTTCAAGGATCTTTGGAAAACCCGAAAACTTGAAATATAAATATTTTGATTTTTTCACATGGGTAGATAGCTCAAAGTGTCCTCTTCAATATGAAAGTTAAGCGAGGCATTGATTTCCAATGGTTCGGGGACCAAAGATCCTTGGAAAACCTACTTTGGAAAAAGAGATTCAAAATGACTTCAATGATGAAAAGATGCGGTCAGGTCTTGGCTTTCAATTAGTGAAAACCGGAAGTCTCTATCACTTTCTTGCCAAACGTTATTCAAAAAACACTCGAGTCCATTCTATTTCAAACTAAAAGAACCTCAGATTATCTTTTTGATTGCAAAATAACGCGTCGCTATCAAAGTTGAGTTTTACCACGGCAGGTGTTATCTATATTACCTTTACTTGATAAACTTGTCGCGACTTGTTGAATTGGTCTCAGTACTTGACGTTCATTATAATTAACATAATCTCCATAATACGGTTCGGATTTGACTATAGATTCAGCTTTT